TTTCATTTCAATATTTTTATTTTAAGAAAATAAAGTAATACAAAATTACCCCTTCCTTACTACCCTCCCAGAAAAATAAACTAATCTAATTTATTATAATTAAAACTGTTGTTTAAATCATTTTTTATTAATTATTTCAAAGTATTCAATCATTTTATCTACAATACACTTTCTTGCATTTATTTCATTTCAATATTTTTATTTTAAGAAAATAAAGTAATACAAAATTAACCCCTTCCTTACTACCCTCCCTCAAAAAATAAATTAATCTAATTTATTATATTTAAAACTGTTGTTTAAATCATTTTTTTATTAATTATTAGAAAGTATTCAATCATTTTATCTACAATACACTTTCTTGCATTTATTTCATTTCAATATTTTTGTTTTAATAAAATAATGTAATAACTTATGTGTGTGCTTAAAAAAAAATGAAACTAATTAAATTTATTATGCTTAAAACTGTCGTTATTTTCAGAAAATATCTCATCAATTATTATACATTTAAGATCTTACACATTATTTAATACTACTTTTACTCTAAATTAAATTTACTATACTATTATATAGTATTGAAAAAAAAAATAAAGTTAACCTTAAAATTTGATAATTGTCTTCGCATAAAATACAAACTGATATTAAACCATCATCATTTAGCCTCATTGAAATTAAGCAACTTTTTTTGGTTATAACGACATTTCATTCATTAAATGCATAATTGAGAAATGATTTAAAAATTTTAGGTTATACGAATCATACTGTATATCGATGAGAGAACTAACTTTCTAAAAATTCATTTTAAAGAAGTTTCAAAGTATGACTACTAAATCGAGACTTCGATATGTATATTAAACACAAACATATTTATATTGGGTCGGGTAAAAAGTTTTTTCGTATTTATTTCCTATCATTTTATTTGTATACAACTCTGATAACATACATTTAATCGAATCAAACAACATTCTTATGTGTTTGAACTTTGATACATTACAAAACAATTCAGAAAAAAAAGGTAAATTTGATCAAAGATAATAAAGTTTTGCAAAATCCTATAGGTTTTGAAATTTTATAATTAAAAATGAAAACAATGCGACTAATTGTCAGTCAGACTGATCAAAAAGTGTTAGTAATGTTTATGAACACAATGCAGTATCAGTATGAGTAATAAAAAGTTGATTCAAAAATTACGAAATCTTAAAATTTGAATATCAAAGATACACCAAAATGCTTTGATCAATTGATAAATGGAAAAAGTTGATGAAATCATGAACGAAATGAAACAAAATTGACATATTGATAATCATGATATCCATAAGAAACTAAACATTAATCACGAAACATGTTTTCTTATTAATTCGATGAGAAATATGAATATATGTTGTTTTTATTGTTGCATTCAAATACGAAGAAACTTTATCACCAGTCCAAATATATTTATACACGTTTAATAACAGTAACGATTTACCGTTACATCGGGTGACCTTATATGAAGATAACATTGCATATATTATTTTACAAGATAAGTAATACGATATATACATTTATGTGTGTATGTGTGTATGTGTTCCGGTAATTATGGCAATGGACTACCATTGTAAATCAAAAAAAAAAAAAGAAATATATTCTATACGATTTAATTTATATTAAAAAATATATAAAAATTATAAAATAAATCGTAAAAAATATATAAATTATTTATATTTTTTACATTAACAATAACAGATCACTGTTATAATTATCAGTACAATTATATATGTTTTATGTTTTTGTGTGTGTGTGAATGTGTGTATATATAAATGTAAAAATGTTAGTGTAGCATATATAGGTATTTTAAATTGAATTATTTTTATTATAAAATACCAAATGGCAATTTTATAAACACCCTATATAAGAAAGCATTCCCGTGTCGTTACCTAACGGCGAGAAATCCAAAGGCCCGTTTCACTTCACAGCTGTCCGATATAACTGCACACTATCGATAATGACGTGTATATAATATACTTATACTTATACCGTATTAAAATCCTATTTGTGTATAAGCATTATTTAAAAATAACGATTCCCCATATGCGTTGGTATACTCTCTCTCTCTCTCTCTCTCTCTCTCTCTCTCTCTCTCGCTAATTTGTTTTAAATATCAGATATTTCATTTTCATTTATTATCCTTATTATATTCATATTAATATTTTTCAGTGAATATTTATGTAATGGAACTTACAAATGTATTTTTTATACGGGTAGAGGGATGGGGGATGCGAAAACGTAAAGTTTTTAATATATAAAAATATAAAAATTGTAATACAAATGAACAGTGAAATTAGAATAATTTTAGTTTTATAAAAATGAAAAAATTCGTCTTGATTTTATTTTTGGAATGAAATTTCATTTGTCTATTTAATATTGGATTGGATAATAAATAATGTTGGGATTTATATTGTTAATAATATTCTCTATTATTGTTTATTTCAATATAAAATATTTAATATTTGTGATATAATTTATTAATATTATTTATTTCAAATATAAATTATTAAGAATTCCGACATTAGTTATAAATCAATCCATTATTTTCATTTAAATATAAACTATAATACAAATTTTTTTTAAAACACGTTACTTTTTATTACTAATGTAATATATTATTTAAACTTTTTTTTTCACCGGTTAACCCAATAGCAAAAGTATATACAAAAAAAAAATAAGGAAAAATTATTAAATTTTATTTTCTACGAGAAAACAACGTTACATCTAAATTCTAATGCAACAAATGCATATACTTAAAAAAAAAAAACAAATACGTAAGTACAAACGTACACGTGTATTAATAAATCCTTAAAAATCAATTGGAAAAAATGATATTATTAAAAAAAATATAATATATATATATATATATTTATGTTATTATAAAAGACCGAAATTGGAGAATGTCAAGATTCACATGGTTCCTTGTCAACACATACCAAATACGTCAGTGAAAGACCGAATATTCCGGTTTATTCTCATACATTAATATTTCCCAAACACACACAGACATACACCAAGTGACCATGTGAATCTTAACATTCCCCAATTTTGATCTTTCACGGTAACACATACAGGTAATCCTCCTATAACACTGTTGACAATAATTTCCTAAAAAATCCCGTATTAAATGAGAAACCATATTACATGAGAAAACCACAGAGTTCATTATTTTAAGGTAATTTAATTTTTAAATGTATTAAACACTAAAATTATGTTATACAGTGCTTTAAAAGTACAGTTTTGTATAAAAGTTTATCATAATCATCTTATCGTGTTAAAACGAAACCGTGTTATAGGGATGCCACATTGTAGGAGGGTTCCAGAACAATTATTTATGAATCATGTTATATCGAAATTGTGTTTTAGGGAAACTGTATTATAGTGATACTGTATTATAGGGAAACTGTATTATAGGGAAACTGTATTATAGGGAAACTGTATTATAGAAAAACTGTATTATAGGGAAACTGTATTATAAGGAAACTGTATTATAGGGAAACTGTATTATAAGAAAACTGTATTATAAGAAAACTGTATTATAGGGAAACTATTATAGGGAAACTGTATTATAGAGATGTCGTGTTATAGCAGTGCTACCTGTATTTACAAATATAAATACAAATATAAAAAAGAATATGATAATAAAAAAAAAAAAAGAAACAATAGGAAAAACCCCGTCTCCACCCCTAAGAAAATTCGTATTTACCCGTGCCTCGTATTCCGATAATCAGAAATCTCTTCTCGAGACGTATCCTTCGATCGTAGATGTTTCGAAAGGATCCTCTTCAACAGATATCCGTGTTATCAATCGAACTATCATTCTCCATCGAGGCCCGTCAACTCGCACACGTTGTTGTTGATCGACCAATCCACGCCGCACATATGAGCTGCTCTCATTCTGAATTTTTTTTTTCTTTTCTTTTTTATTTCTTATTATTTTTCTTTTTTCGATCTTATAAAAATTAACGAAACTTCTCTTTAAATCGATACGATCTAATTATAATAATCTGTCAAATGCAACGTTTTTTATTTTTTCAACAAAAATTTTCAATAATCATTAACCAATCCCCGTTCTCTCTCATCCCTCCTGCCTTTTGCCACGAAGTTTTCGTTTTAGACAAAAAAAAGAAAAATTAAACAAAAGATTACTACGATTGTTTATTAATATTTATTCTTTTTTTTCTTTTTCTTTCTTTTTTAAAACACCGACGAATATTTTTACCCTCTCTCTCGTTTATTCGAAAAAGAAAAGAAAAAAAACCCCCTCCCTATATTTTTCTATTTTCTTTTTTTCTATTTTTTTTTTTTTTTTTTTTTTTNTTTTTTTTGTTTTTTTTCTGTTTTTTTTTTTTTATAATAATAATCTTACGAACACACACTTTGGAATATTTTTGTTTAACAGCCTAATTCATTTTAGGGGGAGATAATTTTAACAAACACCCCACATGGAAATCAATCTTTTTTTTTCTCTCTATCCTGTCTTTTATTCGTTGTTTTATTTTTTTACTTTTTTTTTTAATAAATTTTCCTATACATATATATATATATGTTTTTTTTCTTTCGTCGTTGTCAATTGAAAATTTTACGAACACGACGTCATATTATTATTATTATTCGAGTCTAATTTTTATTATTTGCCGATTATTTTTTTTATTTTTTATTTTTCTTTGCTTTTACGATTATTTGTCGTTCAGTTTCGTTTCGTTTCGTTTCGTTTCTTTTTAATCGATCATCGATATTCAAAACACGTAGAATAACCCGACCGTTAATCGAAACACATAAGAAAAACCATGCCTGACCTCCCGCTTTGGATGCGATCGTAAGACTAAAGTCGTCGTCCCTCCAATGACCGAGTAGATGCACGGCTTTCTCATTCCTTCTCTCTCTTTCTCTCTTTCTCTCTCTCTCTCTCTCTTTCTTTCTCTTTTTCTCTTCCTTTTTCTCAATCCTTTCTCTCCGTTTCATTTTCGTACCTATCTCTTACTCTCTCACACTATTTCTCTGTTTTTATCTTTTTTATTCTCTCAACACTGTTATGGTGGTTTATTAGTAGTGGTGTACTGAATATGTTTAAATGCAAGAAAATACCGGAAGGCCAAGAAAAAAAAAATATATATATATATTAAAGAACCTTCAAAGGAACCCATAAAACAATACATATGTTATCAATTTTTATACTTCAAATGAAATATTTTCAAATATTAATAATGGGTATGTCTGTGATATATAAATTATTGATCGATTTAATAATTATATTTGGGTGTTTGATTTTTAATTAATCAATATCATATCATATTAGTTTTATAAATGGAAATATTTGTAAAATAAAAAAAATATTACTGAGGTTTTAAATATGATGTTTAATATTTTTCAGATTTATTTTATTGCATCACGCATATGTTTGTTATGCATATCAATATATATATATTTGATATTTAACTTAAATTTTATAGGAATATCAATAAGAATCCACACAACAAATATTTCAACAATTTATCTTTATATTTATTTTCCCATCGGAATTATGGGAACCCTATCCCCCGAAAGTTTAACACACAATAAATGTACGTTTAATAATCCAAACATTTGACAAAAATTTGAATAAAATACAAACGAGAGATTAAAAAAATTAATTGATAAATATCAAATTCAAAAATATACCACACATAACTTTCTAAGAAATGAATAAAAAGAAACACTATATATATATATACATAAATATTCGTGTTAGATTCTTATTGATATTATCTACAAAATTTTGTTTAACATGAATTATCAATTATTAAACATTGTATGTGTTTTTTTAACGAATAAAAGTAATTTCCGATTTGAAGTTATTAAATCGCGTGACAAAATGTTAATACTTCTCATTAAAATCTTGTAAACTCGACAGACACCTGCAATAGTTCACTCAACTTCATTTTTTTAATTATCACTTCGAAAGAAACGTGACTGTGTTAAATGCATACAGTTATATATATACATATATATACTTATACTTTCAGTTATATATTTAAAAGCGTAAGAGGGAATGTAAAGAAAAATAAACAAATAAAACCAGACTAGATGTGGATCGGTCAATAGTATCGTATACCACTGTGAATAAGTAGTTGACCAATGATCGTCTATTACGCAAGTTACATGATAAATAAAATATATAATATCATTGACAACGGGGTGTATAATATTATAACATTAAATGATAAAAACTGTACTTTCCAAAATATCCTACAATCTAAACAACAAAAATAAAAAAGATCACACGGAAATGAATTACAACATTTTAAATACATATTACAAACAGAAACGTATACATATATAAATATATATATTAAATTGTTTGGAAAGTAATTAACATTTTTTACACGATGAAACACAAATAAAAAAAAAAAACTATTTTTTTCTAATTCAAAAATTTAGATACAATCTTATATGATCGTGAATTAATTGAATTAGATTAATTCGATATTATTAATTATTTTTTTTATTGTTATGCAACAATTAGCATATGCATCAATGAATTAAAACACGCGGTGCATCGTTCAAATCGAAATTTCAAAAATTCATTTTAACAATATTAATTCATTTAACAAATTCTTATCTATAAACTGTATATATAATTTTATGCATCCTTGCACAAACGTTATTATCTTTCTCTCTCTCTCTTTAGGGTAATAAAAGAATTATTAAATATAACGAATATATATGCTGAATTTGAGTTTCTATTTCTTATGAGATGGCAAGAAATAAAAAGAAAAACTACTCGACGAATCGAAACATAAGAAGGTTCTAAATCACGTTTTAAAGTTCATATTATAATTACGAGATATACTTTATTTAATATTAACATTATTAATATTATCAAATAAATATAACAAAACGAAAAAGAAATAAATAAATTTATTTTGTAATATTTGATCTTACACACTGTTCGTTTAAAACAATAATTACATTTTTATATATATCTTATAATATATAAGTATTATATAGTATAATATAATAAGTATATATAGTAAATAAAAAAATATATAATACTTATAATATATAATTAATACATAATTTATATTATACTATAACTTATATTATAAAATAAATAAAATACTATACAACTTATACCATAACCTATATATTATGGTATAATATATTATAAATATATAACTTATACTTATGGTATAATATATTATATATAATAAATCCAAGGTTATAACTTTCCGAATCCTGTACGACCTTAATATGTCTCGATCGAAACTGAAACTTTGGTAAAAAGAAAGGTAAGAGGGAATCAAGAGTTGTTTCGAAAGAAGAATATACAGGAGCAAAAAGTGAGCGCCGACCTTCGCGACAATTCACTCATTATACACCTCTTGTTACCTTTGCTCGAATTCGCTACGAAGTAAGAGAACAAGACAACTTTCGATCGGCTCTAACCGATGGAGAGTAAAAGTGGTGCACACGTATACTTACAAATTCCTTTCGAGAAAAAGAGAACAATTACAGTGTCCTACGTTGTCTGATTTTATTACAAACTTAACCAAATTTTTTTACAAAAAAAAAACAAAAAATACAGAAAAAACCTTCCTTTCCATTTTACCTCCTTACAAAAAAAAAACTCACTACTCCAGGATCTGACTTCTTTTCTTTTTTATTCTTCTTTCTTTTTCTTCTTCTTTAATTTTATCGAATCCTGTGTGAACTGAATTCTTAAAAATCACTGCTCGTTCTATACAAGGTGTACCCATTTTAAATAATACGAACAAATATTTTCAATTGTAAAAACAATATTATATTATTTAAATAAAAGTTTTATTTTGTTTTTTTTTTAATAAAAAAAATATATAATATATTTCAGAATATTTTTGTTTTCTTTTTATAGAGAATACTTTTGTCAAGATATGGAAGATACAACAATTTGATTTTTTATCTTGAAATTTAAGATATTGTATAATACCAATTAATGTTCTTAATGATCATTTTGTTTTTGAACGATTAAACAACTTCAAATATTTATTAACAATACTACATAAATGAATAGATTAAAAAAAAAAAAACAATAACAAGACAAATAATTGATTAATTTCGTTTATTATTTTATCAGACGTTACTTGAAATTAAACTTTGAAGTATAAGTCACTAACGTAAAGTTCATCAAAAACTTAACAACCGTAATTTCAAATCTTTCGTTTACAAAACGAATAAAATAAAAGATATTGTGTTTTTGAACGATTAAACAATTTCAAATATTTATTAACAATACTACATAAATGAATAGATTAAAAAACAAAAAACAACAACAAGACAAATAATTGATTAATTTCGTTTATTATTTTATCAGACGTTACTTGAAATTAAACTTTGAAGTATAAGTCACTAACGTAAAGTTCATCAAAAACTTAACAACCGTAATTTCAAATCTTTCGTTTACAAAACGAATAAAATAAAAGATATTGTGTTTTTGAACGATTAAACAATTTCAAATATTTATTAACAATACTACATAAATGAATAGATTAAAAAAAAAACAATAACAAGACAAATAATTGATTAATTTCGTTTATTATTTTATCAGACGTTACTTGAAATTAAACTTTGAAGTATAAGTCACTAACGTAGAGTTCATCAAAAACCTAACAACCGTAATTTCAAATCTTTCGTTTACAAAACGAATAAAATAAAAGATATTATTTGTTCGTATTAATAAAAAATAGAACACCCTGTACATATATGTATGTCCTACGTATATATATAAGATCACATTAAACCTGGCTATAGTAGAGAAAGGCAGCCACCCACTGGATTACACAACTTCTTTAGTTATTAGTATATGACGTTTACGAGTTATTCAAGCAGACAAATGATATCTCAAGATAAAATTGTCACACGTTTAACGTTACCATTATAATTCTACGATTTAAAACTAATTCAATTTCGTAATAATTTAATTATGATGTACATTTTTTTCTCTTTCTTTATATTTATTTTTATTTTTTTATTGAAATATATATATATATATATACTTTAAATATTAAATAGAAAATTATTTGTTCACGATTAAAAAGTACAGTTTAATATTTTTTTGTTTTAATACTTTGTTTTTTTCTTTTTTTTTTTTATCTTGGTCCTAATCGTAAGACGTCGGTGTGTGATTTCATTGCTTCATTAAAGATAATAACGAGGGAGAATTATTCTTAAATCTACGATGACACATTCCTACTTACGTAGGCAACACAGAAATGCATTGCTAATGTATCCTTGCTACATGCGGAGGCTGTAGTAGAAACGAATTGCAAATTATTGGCTGAAGAAATGTTACAACGATTTTCCTTTGCGGTTTATGCCAATTCTCTAGATACTTCTTATCTTTCCGTAAAAAATATCAATAAGAGTTTCACAATTAAGTATTCTATTATTAATTTCATAAATATATATTCTTTCATTAATCCGCGTTCTTTGTTTTACATTTTTTTTTACAAAACCTAATTTCGTAATATTATCATTATTATTTGTATTTATTATTACATTTATTTATTAGAGTTCGGTCATTAAATTATTACTTTTTCTTTTTTTAATTCCCTTCATAAATTTTTATTAAAAAAAAGATTATTTATTAATAAAAATATCTATTTATATAAATATGTATTTTAAGTATATATATAAATATGTATTGATTATGTGATATCGTATGATAATAAACTAATTTATCGACTGTGCAATACTAAAATAAAGATTAATTCATAAATAATTTGTCATTATATCATTATTTATATTTACTAAGTACTGTTATTTATTATTCGATCAATAAATTATATTTGTTTAATATTTTAATTAATAAATACTTTTTTTTTAATAAAAATATCTAATCACAAAAATTAGTATTTTGTGATATCGTGAGGAAAGAAAACTACCTTACCAACAGTACTCGTTCAGACAGCGCTCGAGTATTTAAATATTGAAATAAAAGCTAATTAATACATAATTAATTTAATATGCAAAATTACATGATATATCAGATAACAAGAGTATTCAAAGAATACATATATCTAAATTAAAGAAGTTAAATTAAGAATATTAACAAAATCAGAAACACCATATATCAAGTTAACTGTCAAATTATTATTGATAACATTGATGTTTGTGACAAACGTCACTGAATTACATTTAAACGTCAAAGTTAATTTGACATTTTATTGTCTCTATACACATCTTATCAAAATAATCTTGAAAATTCTTTTTAATACCTTTCCAATAATCATTGCAAATTTTTAATAAATCAAGTACTACCATCTATGAGTCATTTTATCAACCAATTCTTCCACTTGATGGCTTTGCCTTTATCCGTGCACGTGTGTTCTGTGTTGCAAAAATCATTCATTTTTTTGGCGCACAATTAGGTGAGCTTTCTTAAATCTTTTGCAATATTATATATATCAAAAATATACCAACATTATAGTTTTAAAAAATATTCATTACGTGTTAGAAATAATTTGCAATTAATACTTAAACTGAAGGAATCAAAAGGTTCTCTTTTTTCCCCATTTGACAAAATATACTTTGTCCTCGTCTGTACGGTATCGTGTCTCTTGCTTCGACAAACGAGCCGTTTAAGACGATGGCGAATCTTTCAAACACCGTATTTAGCAATCTTCTATTCCACGTTTTGCACATGTGCTATCAATTTTCTAACCAACGTCTTATATAACAAGAATTTTCTCAAAAGAAAAATCACTATTTATTTAAATTTATGTATAAATTAAAATTATGTTTTATATGTGTATATATATATACATATATATGAATTTTCTTTTGGAATGGTATGAAAAAAAGAAATTATTGTTCAAAGTTACAGATATAAAAGATGCCATCCGACGCAAAGAAGAAACAACAACAAAAAAAGAAAGAGGCTGCGAAAGCCAGGCAATCAGGCAAGAAACCAATTAACAATCAAACTAAAGGCGCAGAAGATGGCAAAGATCAAAATATTGCATCAGAAGAATCTGTTGAAAATGGAACTAATGGAACAACTATTAGCGTAGAAGGTATAAACATTTCAATGCGTCATATAGTTCGATTAAAAATGAATACTTGTTTAACTAGAAAAGCATTTGTTAAATCCTACATAATACAATTATGTCTTGTATAGAGGCATTATGCTTAAAGCTTGAAGCAGATGCAAGACTCAACGCAGAAGCACGTTCATGCACTGGATCATTGGCTTCGCATCCACGAAGTAGAGACATCAAGATATCTAACTTTTCTATAACATTTCACGGTTGCGAACTATTGCAAGATACTATGTTGGAATTAAATTGTGGAAGACGTTACGGTTTACTTGGTCTCAATGGTTCAGGAAAATCAACTTTGTTAGCGGTACTTGGAAATCGTGAAGTTCCTATACCAGATCAAATAGATATTTTTCACTTGACCAGGGAAATGCCTGCCAGCAATAAAACTGCTTTAGAATGTGTCATGGAAGTTGACGAGGAAAGAGTTAGACTCGAAAAGCTTGCAGAAGAATTGATCGATTGTGAAGAAGAAGATGCTCAGGTTTCAAACCTTTTATATGAATAATTCATAAAATATAATATAGTTAATTCTTTTTTCATTTCTATATCCTAATATTTTTCTAGGAACAATTAATGGATGTATATGAACGATTAGATGACATGGCTGCTGATACTGCTGAAGCACGAGCTGCTCATATTTTACATGGTTTAGGTTTTACTTCTCAAATGCAAAAAACTGCCACTAAAGATTTTTCTGGAGGATGGCGGATGCGTATAGCTCTTGCTAGGTAAATTAACATTTATATCAGTAAAACAAGATATAATCAATGTTAATGGATTCTAATCATTGAATATTTATATAGAGCACTATACGTGAAGCCTCATTTATTATTGCTCGATGAACCAACTAATCATTTAGATCTTGATGCTTGTGTTTGGTTGGAAGAAGAATTGAAAACGTATAAACGAATTTTAGTAATCATTTCACATTCGCAAGATTTTCTTAATGGCATTTGTACAAATATTATACATGTCAATAAGAAACAATTAAAATATTACACAGGAAATTATGAGGCATTTATTAAAACAAGGTAAAAATATATTTTATCGACTTTTTTTTTTTTCTTTTTGTATTATGATTACGTAATAATTCATATATTATTATATTATTTGTTTAATTATGTTATCAGAATGGAGTTATTAGAAAATCAAGCTAAACAATATAATTGGGAACAAGATCAAATTGCGCATATGAAGAATTATATTGCACGATTTGGGCACGGTTCTGCTAAATTAGCTAGACAAGCTCAATCGAAAGAAAAAACTTTAGCAAAAATGGTCGCGCAAGGTCTTACGGAAAAAGTAGTTAATGATAAAACATTGAATTTTTATTTCCCATCCTGTGGAACTATTCCCCCACCTGTTATCATGGTTCAAAATGTTAGCTTTCGTTATAATGAAAATTCCCCCTGGATATACAAAAATTTGGAGTTTGGTATTGATTTAGACACTAGACTCGCTTTAGTAGGACCCAATGGTGCCGGAAAGAGTACATTACTAAAACTACTTTACGGAGATGTAAGTTTTAATAATTTCAATTATATAATATGTCCTAATATATATTTTACTTAGTAAATATTATTTTGTTCCACAGTTGGTACCTACAAGTGGTATGATTCGTAAAAATAGTCATCTACGTATAGGAAGATATCACCAGCATTTACATGAACTTTTAGATTTAGATATTTCTCCATTGGATTATATGATGAAAGCTTTTCCCGATGTTAAGGAACGAGAAGAAATGCGAAAAATTATTGGTCGTTATGGACTTACTGGACGACAACAAGTATGCAAATGAATCTAAAAAGAAAAAAAAAGAAGACAGGGAATCAAATACATAAATGAATTTTTCTTTATAGGTCTGTCCTATTCGTCAACTATCCGATGGTCAACGTTGCCGAGTAGTATTTGCCTGGTTAGCGTGGCAAGTTCCACATTTGTTACTTCTTGATGAACCTACCAATCATCTTGATATGGAAACAATAGATGCACTTGCAGAAGCAATTAATGATTTTGATGGAGGAATGGTGCTTGTATCTCACGATTTTAGACTGATAAATCAAGTACGTAAGAAAATACAAAATTCAAATATAATAATGTTCTATGAATGGAAATAAGAAAAATAATATATAAATTATATTATTTAAAGTTCCCTTAGAAATATATACTTGTATTATAAAATTATAAATTTATTTATATATTATTTTCTTATTTTTGCTTTATGTACATATATGTGATATACATAAAAATAATTGCTTAATTATTTATAAATAGGTTGCGGAAGAGATATGGGTATGTGAAAATGGAGCAGTTACAAAATGGAGTGGTAATATTTTGAATTACAAGGAACATCTTAAAAACAAAGTTCTTAACGATAATCAGAAAAGACAGAAGGATTTTATCAATAGAGGAAAATAATGCAAGGCCCTTTATTATTCAATATATATATATATATATTACATTTCTCGTTTTATCCAGAGCACTCTTTCTATCTCTCTCTCATTTCTTATTTGAAAATTTTACCAACTGTCTTGATCAATTATCGTCACTGCACTTATGCTACTATGTAGCGTATCGGTGACACGAGATTATTTAGTTAATTTATTTAAAACTAATACATTATGAAATATACTACAAATGTATATTTACTACGGCCATTAATTCCTAATTTAATGAAACTTTTTCTCTCTTTCTATTTTTCTCACACCGTGCAGTTTAATTTTTTCCATCGATCATAAGTTACCCCTTTGGTGCTTTTTCTACAACAAAGTATCATTAGTGTTATTATTCAAAACAAATAATCAATTTGTGTATGAACATTATTAATCACTTCAATGAAACAAATTTTAGATATTTCTCCTTGCAAAATTATTATGTGACTTACACAAAAAGAAAATATATATATATATAAAAAAAAAAAACAAAAGTATGACTTGTAATATCTAAATGTTTCAAATTGATGCTTTGAAGAGTTCTATATATATAAGAATAATAATAATAATATGTAAATCCTGTAGAAATATAAAACAAAAAAAAAAAGTAAAAAATGAAAATTAATTTTGATCAAACATTGATTTTTTTCTCCATCGAATCTTATACAATGATTTATATTTTAAGCAATCATAAGCTTCATATTATTTTCGATAGAAAATATATAATATAAATAAGAAAATATACGAAAATACTTCGTTGATTCTTACAAAATACATGATCTATATTCTATCGAATGTAATATGAAAGATTGCTGTTTTTAGAAACCCATGGGTTAATGATGACACTATTTTTATGTTATTTTACTTAATCAATGTGTGTGTATATATGTATGTAAATGAAAGAAAACACAAGGAAAAGTAAAAGTAGAATTTTTCTATTTTTTATGCTGTCTAGAAACTTTTTTTTCTTTTAGAAGAAAAAAAAAACAAATCTAAATTTATAGAAATTAATCGAAAATCAACCAAAAAAAATCTAATAATCGTTTCAATCTTATCAACGAAATTAAATTATTCGAAACTAGTAACTTATGTTTGTTTGAAAAAAACAAAAAAAAGAAATAAAAATTACATAGATAACCATTTATAGAATTAAATAATCATTAATGACTAATTATAAACTAAATAATCCTTAATAACTATTTATAAAAAACTAAATGTTTCTCTTATTCTTAAAACCTTGTAACTCGAAATAATAATTATAATTATTACTTATATATAGTTCAATGTTTCTTATTATTATAAACCTTATAACTAAATGTTTCTTATTAGAACCTTATTAAAACATTTTACGAAAATTTATTTTAAGACTATTTTTTACTACTGCATAAAAATATTAAAAAGGAAAAAAAAAACACCTTTTACATTAATAATGTATCCAAACTTTAAATTAATTAAAATATTACAAAAAGAAAATAGGAATTATGTCGTTAATAAGAATTCGTAATGAAATATTAAAAATATACATCATATTATTGAATGAAAATAATTTAACATAAATTCTTGTTTCATTACTCATCTCATTATCATACTTATAGATAACCGATTTTATTATCTTATCATTTAATATATAATTCTATCTATACGACTAATCCTCTTCAGATGCTATTAACAATATTGCAATCTGTGAACAGAAAAAAATCTAAAAAAAAAGATTTATAATTAAACAAGAATTGATGAAAACCAAAAGCCATCAGTGAAAATGTTTTGACAATAAATGCATAATTCACATACTAAACCAAATCCTAGAAAATTTGTTCACACACACACACATAAATTCATACATTCATACATTTAGACAAAAAAACCAACACCACGACTACTACGAGAATACAACAAACTAGAAACAGTGGAATAGAGTCTTGCCAAAATCGATGAACCTAAAACAAAAATAAATTTTATATTACTACGTATAAAAGGTTTTAATCACGGTCGCTTATGCTCGTTTCGGACAAAACACATCTACGAATACAACCAGGAACCCGTGCCGATATTGGACCTTTCATCCTCGGCATGATTGAGCACCGGAGGGACTTTAAATTTTAACTTACGACCTGCTAACTGTTATATTACATATATGTGACATTTTAAAATTAAAATGACGCATGTACGAAATATGAACAGATAGCATTAGAAGTTCTGCGATGGCTCCAAAACACTCCTACTTCGTAGCAAATGGTCCAGCTGCATCCCTCGTACACCAGACCCATCGGAGAATTCCTCGATGCACTTTACCACACACTCCCGTGACTCTAATAACGCGGTAAACGAATATAAGAAACTATAAAAGAGTTTCTTATCGCGAAACCGAAATTTTTCTTAAACGGCGAACAACACTGACTCTACATACGCGTTTGATTTGAATTTAATTTGCGTCCGGTCACTGACTCTACTTCGCGATAAAAAAATGTTACTTTAATTACTCGTACAAATACTGACTCTACAATCTACTTCAAAGACTGCATTGCACGCAGTCAATGCAAAGAAAAATTTCACTCCCGATACGCGGTCACTTCACTGATACACTTCACTGACTCTACTTCGCGAACAGTCTGTACGACTGTTTTTAAAATTAAAAAACTATAACCTTATACGAAAACAAACTCTAAGTGCAATTAACTGCATTGATCGCAGTTAATTTTACATATAAATTACAAAAATAACGCGAACGCGAAACGCGACCGAATTTTTTATTAACGAGCGAACGTGCTTCTAATCCGTGATTTTAAATTATATTTATAAACGATCAAACACTCCCGGTACATTGCTTCGCGCACGAAATGCAATTGTGTACTGAAAAAGAAAAAAAGAAAAAGAACAATTAATATCGTAGTCGTAATAAAAAAACCATTGAAAAATTATCATAGAGAATGTTTGAATGCCCGATGGGTCTCCTACCCTTAGGATGACGATGACCGAATGCACTGACTCTACTTCGCGATTAAATTTCACTTTAATTATTCGTACAAATACTGACTCTACTCCGCGATAAAAATTTGATTTTAATTATTCGTACAAACATTGACTCTAATTTTGACAACTGCATTGCACGCAGTTCAAATATCAAATACTAACACAAACACTCACCCTTCTGAAAAGAGAGAAAAGAAMAAAACGATTAGAATCATTGTTATCGTTTAAAAATTACAAGTAATTATGAAAGAAATGTTTAATATAAAAATGAATTTACCTTTAATCTCCAGTGATGAATGCATGATGGGTCTCCTACCCTTAGGATGACGATGGCACACGTATAAACCAAATAAAAGAAACTTTCGGAGTTTCTTTACCCGAAAAAACGAAACTTTTCCATACGGCGAGCAACACTGACTCTAATTTCCGATTTTTCTTTAACAATGCAAACACTCGAGTACCTCATTGCCAACGCGCACGATTGCAATGATGTTCTGAAACAGAAAATAAAAAAGAACGATTAGTATCATCATCGAAATAAAATGACCATTGCAAATTTATCATAGAAAATTCTACTTACATGTAGTCTTCAGTGATGAATGCCTGATGAGTCTCCTACCCTTAGGATGACGATGACCAGTAGACGTTAACGAAAATAAAAAACTATAAAACAGTTTTTTATCGCGACCACAAACGCGAACGCGACCGAGACGTGCTTTTACCGACCGCACTGCACGTCAAAAACGACTGAAAGAATACACAAGATTAGTGTTCCTATAAAATAAATCGAGTATTTTAATGTGGGATATAATATGAATGTAGTATTMAAGTGAAAACAATGAAATGAATTGTAATATGTTATTGATTAGGAAAATGAAAGAAACTAATTATTATTATAATGTTTTTGGTAAGCGGTCTTTGGCTAGATTTTACTTG